CAGCACCATGATAGATGCAGTAGGTTAAGCCTCTGCCTGAGGTGTCAGCATCCCATCAGGCTGCTGCTTTGAGTCCTGGTTGTTATACTCCCAATCAAGTTCCTTGCTAATGTGTCTGGGTTAGCAGTGAATAATGGCTCAAGTCCTTGGGCCTCTGCACCCACATGGAAGATCCAGAAGAAGCCACAGGTTCCTGATTTCAAAACAGCTCAGCTCTGGCTATTGTAGATATTTGGGTAGTGAATCAGCAGATGGAAGATCTCTCTCTCTCTGTCTCTCTTTCTCTCTCACGCAGTGTCTCCTTTCTCTGTGTAACTTCCTTTCAAATAAAAAATAAGTCTTTTTTAGATTTATTTTTATTATGTTTTTATTGGAAAGGCGGATATACAGAGAGGAGAGACAGAGAGGAAGATCTTCCATCCGATGATTCACTCCCCAAGTGAGCACAACGGCCGATGCTATGCCAATCCGAAGCCAGGAGCCTCTTCGGGTCTCCCACGCGGGTGCAGGGTCCCAAAGCTTTGGGCTTTCCTCGACTGCCTTCCCAGGCCACAGGCAGGGAGCTGGAAGGGAAGCGGGGCTGCGGGGAGAGAACCGGCGCCCATATGGGATCCCGGGCATGCAAGGCGAGGACCTTAACCACTTGCGCCACCGCGCCGGGCCCTAAAGAAAATAATTAGTTTATCTGAGAGATACAGAGAAAGTTCGCACTCTCTGACTCTGAGCTCATATGTCCACCACAGCTGGAGCTTGCTTGAACTGAAGTCAAAAGCTGGGAAAGCAGCTAAAGTCTTTCGCAAGGATGTCACGAACCTAATTCCTTGAGCCATCACCAATGCTTCCCAGGATCTGTACTGGTAGGCAGCTGGAGTCAGGAGCTGAAGCTAGGAATCAAACCTGGCTCTCAAATGTGGGTGTCAGACATCCTAACCGCAAGGTAAATCACCCACTCCTGTTGAAGAATTTAAAACAAAAAAGAATCCATAAATGTTCGTATCAATTAACTTTCTTTTTCTTAAAAAAGCTGTACTGTTTGGATTTACAGAGAGACGGGGAGAAAAGGAGAATGAATGATCCAGTGGTTCATTCCTTAAGTGACCTTCCTCAACAGCAGGGGCTGGGCCAGCTGAAGCCAGCCAGGAGCTCATGTGAGTGACATGGGCCCAAGTACTTGGGCCTCTTCTACTGTTTTTTCCAGATGAATTAGCAGGAAGGTGGATTGGAAACGGAGCAGCTGGGCCTCAAACCGGTGCTCACACATGATACCACCATCGTAAGCAGCAGATTAACTCACTGTGCCACAAAGCTGATCCCATGTTTTATAAAAACATTGTTACAACTTGACAATTTTTTTTTAGATTTATTTATTTGTTGTAAAGTCAGATATACAGAGAAGAAGATCCGTTCATTGATTCATTTCCCAAGTGATCGCTATGAGCTGATCTGAAGCCAGAAACCAGGAGCTTCTTCTGGGTCTCCCACATGGGTGCAGGGTCCCAAGGCTTTGGGCCATCCTCGATTGCTTTCCCAGGCCACAAGCAAGGAGCTGGATGGGAAGCAGAGCTGCCCGGATTAGAACAGAACCGGTACCAATCCTGGCCTATGCAAGGAGAGGACTTTAGCTGCTAGGTCACCTTGCTGGGCCTGACAATTCTTTTTTAAAAAATGTATGTATTTTATTGGAAAGGCAGATATGCAGAGAGAAGGAGAGACAGAGAGAAAGAGCATCTAGTCTGTTGGTTCACTTCCCAAGTGGTTCCAACAGCTAGAACTGGACTGATCCAGAGTTAGGAGCTAAGAGTTTCTTCAGGGTCTCCCATGCAAATGCAGGATCCCAAAGCTTTGGTCACCGTCTATGTCTGCTGCTTTCCCAGGTCACAAGCAGGGAGCTGTATGGGAAGTGGAGCAGCCAGGATTTGAACTGGTGCCCATATGGCATTCTGGTAGATGCAAGGCAAGGATTTAGCCAGTAGGCTATTGTGCCGAGCCCAGCTTGCGAATTCTAACACCTCTTAAAATCTGCTTTTTTATTTTGAAATTTACTTGTAAAATAAATCAGACCATTCATTTCCTACAGTGTACAAACCTTCTAAATTTGGCTGATTATATCCTTACACTGTTATGTAATGTGTTTGTCCCCTGGATTGCCCTTAAGTAGAGGATAGTGGAGACATGGGATGCCCATATTGTAGCTAATTAACCCACTAAGTCACATCCGCCCCAAGCATAAGTAATTTATATTTATATTCAAGTGTGTTCGAATACATATATTTGAATCTATGTCTAGTTTTCCCTTTTGGGACAAGGAATAAGTTAAAAGCATTACCATCTTCTACTTCTTGTCCACGTGGTTCACACCTCATACTTTTTTGTGTGAGGTGGGAAAACATTATCCTCCACATCTTCACAATGTCTACTTTGTCCTCAGCCTTCTGGGCTCTGACCAAATGCCATGTCTTCAGAGAGGCCCTCTTGACCACCTTACTTCAAATAGCTACGTTATGCATTAATTCTAATTCCCTTATCTTGCTCTTTATTTTTCTTCATATTATTTATTCACTCTTTGGTTTTAGTGCTTTCCTACACAGCTACAAGTTAAGCTCCATGAGCACAGACACTTCCATCCTTCCCCCCCGCCCCCCCGCTATATCCCCCAGACTGTTTTTCTTCAAAGATTTTATTTGAGAGGCAAAGTGACAGAGACAAGGAAAGCAATCCATCCTCTGGTTCACTCCCCAAATGACCACAACAGCCAGGGCTTGGGTCAGGATAAAGTCAGGAGCCAGGAACTCCATCAGGTTCTCCCACATGGGCTGCAGGCGTTCCAGTGCTTGGACAGCTCACAGTGCCTTCCTAGAGTAGATGGGACTCAAACCAGCATCGTGATATGGGATGCTGGCATCAGATGAGGCAGATTAATGATATGGTAGAACACCAGTGCTTCTCCCCAGCATTTCAAATAATGACACCTAGAAGGTGTTCAATAAGTATCCATTAAGTAAATGAAGTGAGGGAATGAAAAGTTTTGGAATCAAAAGATTCTGGGCTCACACTACAGCTCCAAACACTTGATATACAACAGTTGGCAAGTATTGAAACTCTCGGTGCCACAGCTGCCTCACCTCTGGTAAGAGGACATGTGCATGCGAAGATTAAGGATTTATGTCCAACCAAAGACCGATGTGCAGAGCCATACAGTGGACCCTCAGTTGCTAGTTTCTGTCCACACCCTCTTTGTTGAGATGATCTTAGTATTACCCTTCCTTATCCAGTACTACCACTCCCACTTAAGGTAGAATTATCATGAAGCCAATTTGGCTTAAATTTCAGGGTTTGAGACTGGGAACTGTGGAGGGAAAACTAGTAGCACTCTGCAATCATTTTTATATAAGCATTCCTAATACATCGGCTAAAGAAATCTCCGGAGGAAGGAAGGCTCCTGAATCTGATTCACTCTCTCTAAATATTAATCTTGTCAGTTTTACAGTATTCCTAACTGGTATTCTATGTCTAAAAGAAATCTCCCAATTTGTATACATCCTAGGCTCTACAAAAAATAAATCCATCCTTGACCTAACCCAATTGCAGATTTCATGAAGTGAGCATATGTATTCAAATTCTGCAACAACACTCTTACAGAAGCAGCTCCAAGAGGACTGGAACTACTAAAGTAACTTTATTTATCTATTTATGTATTTATTTGAAAGACAGAATTACAGAGAGGGAGTGACAGAGAGAGAGAGAGAGAGAAATCTTCCATCATATGGTTCACTCCCCAAATGTTGGGACTGTGCCAAGTCAAAGCCTGGAGCCTAACACTCTCCATCCAGATCTTCCACGTGGGTGCCCAGCACCTGGGGGCATCTTTCACATTAGCAGTGAGCAGCGTGAGAAGGAGAGCAGCGGGATGCTAGCCAGTGCCCATATGGGATGCTAGTATTGATTAAGAATCAGCTCGCTTTTGGGACTGTCTTGCTGAATTCCCATTTGAAGTCATAATGGGAATCAGGAGGCTGTTCTTGGCTGCAGGCTTTTGACTGCCACCTCGGAAAGAAATCGAAGATTATTTAAGCTGCGGAGTCACGATCACTAATAGCACTCTTCAAGACCAGGGCCAAAAACAAAGCAGTCAGATGCATAACAGCTACTACTGACTGTTCGTGGGTGCAAAACCAAGCCAAGCCACCAGGGAGAAAAATCTGAAAAGTAAGGACTTGAATTGCCAGCCAATAGTAGTAATCCTAGTACTACTGGTAGCTTGTACTTTTAAGGTTAACCAATGCCATGTCTTTGCCGTGGCCGGCCCGTCTCCCCCTTCCTCTAAGCAGGGCTGCTAGCTTCCCAGATGGAAATGTCCCTCTGGAGTCGTCTGAATGTCCCCTATTGCACGCCCAGGCCTCCTCTCTGGCGCATCTATGTCCACAGCTCAGGTCTCCTTTGCGTTCTAGCGGGGAGTCCGCGGAGTGCACAACCAGGATCCGTTTTCTGTGAGGCCGCTGCGCCTGTCGACCTGATTCCACAAAACACCTGCAGGGTCGGGGACCCTGGCCACTACCTGCCACCCCGAAAACAGGATCCCCGAATCTCCTCTGTTTATCACGAGGGCATCCCCTCAGCCCTCCTCCTTCCGACACGCGCGCGCACACACACACACACACACACACCGCCACCGCATCCCCTCAGCCCTCCTCCTTCAGCCACACACACACACCGCAGCCCTCCTCCTTCACACACACACACACACACTCGCCACCGCATCCCCTCAGCCCTCCTCCTTCAGCCACACACACACACCGCCACCCGCATGTGTGCACCCGGGAGTGACCCAGTGGAGATCCTCAGGCCTGGGGACCGCGTTTCCCGGGCTCCCGGCCAGAAGCTCGTCTCCCCGTCCGACCCCGCCGTCCGGGTCGCCGGCATCCAGCTTGTTAGCAAAACCCGGAGCAGAGACCTCCCCGTCGCTCCCGGGAGGCGGCGCGCTTTGGCGCCGCAGGCCGGGCATGCGCAGTGGACAGGGCCGGCTCCCGGCGCAAGAAGGAAGCGTTCGCCGTGATCCCAGCGGCTGCGCCGGGGTATGCGGTACCGGCTGGCGTGGCTGCTGCACCCTGCGCTGCCCTGCGCCTTCCGCTCGGTCCTCGCTGCCCGCCTGTTGCCCTCGGAGCGCCTCTGCGGGTGAGTGGGACGGAGCGCCCGGGCGCTCGGGGCCCGCGGGGCCAAGGTGATTTGGCGCTGGAGGGGGTTGCAAAGTGGTGATTCAGCACTTGAAGCGGCGCCGCCGCCGCCCCTCGCGCAGACCCTCCGGCCGAACCGGGGCTCGGACGGCCGCCCCGAGGCCGCGGCTGCTCCCGGAAGGGGCTGAGGCGAAGCGGGCCCGGCCTGGGCTGGAGGACGTCCTTCAGGCTGGTGAGGGCGGACCGGGGGCTGTGTGCCCCGAGTGCGGGGGTGACGGAGTCACCGGGCACAGCACCCTCCTCGGGGAGCCCTCCTCCTCCTCCGACGGCACCCGGGCACGTGAGGCTCCCCTGGCCGAGGGATGGAGGCGCCCGGCGAGCCCGCCTCTCACCCCGCTCTCTCAGCTCTGCTTTCTTTCTTTCTTTTTTTTTTTAAAATAATCACGCCCGTGGGCGCTGAGTGTCTCCCTGGTGGAGACCAGTGCTGTGTTGGGAATGGTAAAAGTTTGCCTGCCTCCGCCGTGCTTTCTGTCGCGTGGAACTGGGAAGCCGAACGATCCTTGGGGGATCCACTACTACGGCAGCTGCCAGGGGGAGACTGTGGGGTTTCCCCCACAACTGTGCAGATTGTGGCAAGCCCAGGATCGGGATGCAGTTTTTTTTTTTTTTTTGGCTTCCACTGGCGTGCTGCCTCCGCTCCGCCTCGCGGTGGATGCTAAACACCTTTTACCGTAAACACAAGATCCATAAGCAGCTTTGTCCTGCTCTTCCAAGTCATTAACATCCAGGACGTACTACGGTGATAGGCTCTCTCTGTGTCTCGTCCGCGGGTCTGCCTTCCAGGGAAGCTGTGATGTGACGGGAGCGGATTAAGAGAGTAGCTTCCCGTAGAGCAAGTGTTAAAGAGGGTTGAAAGCGGGTCAGTATGGGCTACGTTTGCTTGCATTAGACCGAATTAGGTCCTGACTGGCCTCGGAAGGGATGGTGGCAGTGGTGGCTCGTGGGCACGTGGGGGCGGTTCCCAGCCTAGATTGTAGCCCGTTTGTCTTGGGAGGGCAGGGAACAGATTTGTTGGGGCTTTAGACAGTTTCCCTGGAGGTCTAAAGCTCTGTATTAACAGCCTGGAATCATGCTAGCTTGGGCCTTGAGTTTGGGCTTTCTTCCATTAAATTGTTGGACAACAGTGAAAAGTGGGTGAGAAGCTTATTAAGCATTTGAACTGGGCAGATGAAATTATGCTTTGAATTTGTTAAGTTTTCATCTGCTGAAATTGGTAGTTTAGCTTGGTGGTAGTCTGTAGGATGAGAAACCTGTTGGGATTTGGTCTTTGCTGTCTGGGCTAAGATGATATCAGTGGTCTGAAGAAAGGCCAGCGCAAAGGAAGAATCTATGGCAATTATTCCCCCCCGCCCCCGCCTCTGTCCCCACAAAATCTACCTCCACAGGCGAAATGATGGCTGAGTTGAACAGAGGGTGGGAGTGGTCAGCACAGGCAGGTGTCAGCCTCGTTTTGGTTAGACTGCTGCATTTTGTTTTAAAGTCATTGCTGATAGCCGAGGCTTCATCTCAGATTGCTCCAGCCTGCCGTATTTCTGATTGCCAAGGAAGCGTGTTTCAGCTTCAGTTTTAGACGGCTGAGTGGCTTGTATGTTGTAATTACAATTAGGTTTTTCTCTCCTGTTTTCTCTCACTACTGTTCACTTTTCGTTCATCACCATCATGTCATGAGTTCAGCAGCCAGTGGGTTTCAAAATAAGATTGTTCTCAGAGAAACTCAGTAGATGCAAAGCATGACGAGTGAGACCAACCACCTAGGAAGCTTTACACTAAAAATGAGTGACTGACGCTATTAACTGAAGTGCAGGATTGGGACATAGTTTTAGGAAGGAAAGCAATAACATTTAAAGCTACTACATACTCGAGTTTGAATTTAATAGCAAGTTGATCTTACTGTAGGAAGAATGGTTTAACAGAATGCCATACAGCTATTTATTATAGGAACTGAGTTTTGACACACATCTGATCGGAGTCTGAACTCGTGACTGTTCCCTTACACTACCTCTGCTGGTATTCGGACCTTCATTTCCTGGTCTAAACTCTTGAGAGATACATGATCTTAAAGCATCTATATATGGTCAGTTCGCTTAAAAAGAAGCATCCTTGTGGTCTGTTGAGCCATATTGGCTCGGATGGGTCTCTTTGGAATGACTGAGCTATGAGGATGACTGAGCTATGAACCTGCAGATAATAGCTTAGTCTGCGGCAACTACTGGAGAGTCACCTGAGCATTAGTCTGTCCCATAGGCCTGGAGAACTGGTATTCCAAGTGAGATTAACTGTTAAGATCCAGGCTCTTATCTCCCCATTTTTTTTTAAGGTGAGGAAATACAAACAGTGATCTTCTGTGTGCTGGTTTAAACCTCAGAGACTTGGAGCAGCAGGGGCTTGGATCAGGCCAAAGCCAGAAGTCTAGAACTCCATTTGAGTTTCTCAAATCGGTAGCTGGGCCACAAGTCCTTGAACCATCGCCTCTGCCTCCCAGGGAGCTGGAATTTGGGGCAGAGCCTGCGCTGAGACCCAGAGCCTGCAGTGCTGAACGGGAACATCTCAGGTAGAATCTTAACCCTGCCAAATATCTGCGCCTATGCTAATTTTCTTTATTTTATTTATTGGAAAGACAGGATTATTGAGAGAGGCAGAAACAAAAAGAGGGAGAGAGATCTTTTATCTGCTGGTTTACTCCCCAAATGGCCCTCATGGCTGGGGCTGGACCAAGCTGTAGCCAAGAGTCTGGAACTGCATCTAGATCTTCCATGTGGTTGCTGGGGTCCCAAGACTTGGGCCATCTTCTGCAGGGAGCTGGATGGGAAGTGGAGCAGCCAGGATACAAACTGGTGCTCCTATAAGATTCTGGCATTACAAGCAATAGTTTAAGCTATGATGTCACTATACTGGCTCTCTGCTCCATCCTCAAAAGTTACTTTTAATCAGAAAAAAATGCCTTTTAGTAGTCTGAGTATCTTTAATTAATAGCAGCTTAAATCGTGCATTGTAAAGTTACAGTCTCTGTATCCTGAGAGATAAAGTTGGGGACAATCTTTTATTTTTAACATTTATCTTTTTATTGCAAAGTCAGGTATATATATATATATATATATATATAGAGAGAGAGAGAGAGAGAGAGAGAGAGAGAGAGAGAGAGGAGGAGGAGAGACAGAGAGGAAGATCTTCTATCTGATAATTCATTTCCCAAGTGACCGCAACATCTGGAGCTGAACTGATCTGGAGCCAGGAGCCTGGAGTCTTTTCCAGGTCTCCCATGTGGGTGCAGGGTCCCATAGCTTTGGCCAGTCAGACTGGGATGGATGGGGCAGGCCATGCGGGGTAAGGGCCAAGCACCCACTGGCATGTGTGAGATGTTGGTTCTGGAGTGTCCCAAGTAGGGAAACCTGGGAAACTCCCCCAATAGGTCATGGCTCCCACCGATGAGCATGTGGTCCAGGCCTGGGTGTTGGACAGGCTGGGCAAAGTAGCTCCATCTGTCGGCAAGTGTGTGAGTTGGTTTTGGAAGGGGGCTTACTGGGCGGGGCCAAGCAAACCATAGCCCACTGGCAAGTGCAGAAACCAGGATGGAGTACAGCTGGGCTAGCCTGCCATATCACTGATTTACCTGAGCCAGGGATGAGAGCAGACTAAGAATGGCCAGGTTGTAGCACCTGCCAGCGAGAGTTAGGACAGGGGGCTGGCTGGGCCAGGACAGGCTGCAGCATCCAAAGGCAAAGGCCAAGACATTGGAAAGACTATGCCAAACTAGGTCAAAGCAACCATTGGCAAGTGTGAGATCTGTGGCTGGTTGGGGAGCTAAGGGGATGCCCTGGCTGCGTTGTGGATCCCATTAGTGAATGCGGGGGCCAGAATGGGGGCTATGGTCTGGTCTGGACATGGCTGTAGTCTCCCTCGGTATTGGGTCTGGGGTGTGCTGGACTAGGTTAGCCTCCTCACCCACTGGTGATCATGAGAACCAGGGTGGGTGTAAGATGGGCTGGGCCAGATCTCTGGCCCTGCTGAGCCATGTGTGAGCTGTCCCTGGGTGTGGACTAGTCTTGGCTGGACTGTAGCACCCAGCAGTAAGAACCAGAATGGGTGAAGGCCAGTCAGGAAAGGTTACTGTTCCTGCTAGGACAGGAGGTGGACTAAGTAGGGCTGTCCCATGGATCAACCGGTGTGCGCAAGATTTGGCATTGGGAGAGGTTCTGATGGAGGAGCTTGGGCAACTCCTCTGTCGGGACACAGTCCCTGCACGTGAGTGCCAGAACCAAGAAAGGGAGCTGACCAGACCAGGCCAGGTTGAAGTACGCATGGGCTTACATTTGACTCAGGTCTGGGGAGAGCCAGGCTGGGCCAGTTTATATTACCATCTGGTAAATCTGAGAGCCAGAATGGTGTGTGGGTCATGCCAGGTTGGGCCACAATATCAGTCAGTTCATACAAGGGCCAGGACTGGGGGCTGGCTGGGCTGGCTAGACCCACCAGTGTGAGCTGGAACTGGGGGTGGGCTGGGACTGGCCAGGCTGCAGCACCCATTGGCAAATGCTTAGGTGAGGTGGGCCGTGCCCGACTGGGCTGCAGCACCCAACCAACACATGTGAGACCTGGGGGAGAGTGGGTGAATCTGGTAGGGGGCTGTAGGGAGCTCCCCTGCTGGACCATTATTTCCACTTGGGAGCATGAGAGCTGAGATTGGGGACAGACCAGGCCAGGCAGGGCTACAACACCTGTTGGCCTTCATGTAAGTTGGATTGGAGACAAGCCAGGCTGGGCAGACTGTACCTCTTGGTACATGCATGAGCCAGAGTAGGTGAGGGTTGGCTTCAGCTTTGCTGCAACATCAGAGAGAGACAGAGAGGAAGATCTTTCGTCCAACGATTCACTCCCCAAGTGACCACAACGGCCGATGCTATGCCGATCCGAAGCCAGGATCCAGGAACTTCTTCCGGGTAT